CGGACCCTAACCCTAACATAAACGAACTTCGAAGAATTTTTGCTGCGCCACAAACCTGGCACACATTCAAGCAAAGCGTTTAATGGCTTTAGACGATCCCCAAATTTGGGACGGTCCTACCTCGAAAATAAACCCGGTTCCAAGCCCGTACTTAAACCGGTTCCAAACTCTAAGTACCATCTAAAAGAAATGTCAATCGCGTAAATATTTTATGTTGCGAAATTTGTTTTCTAATATTCAATAATATGACATACACAAACGCACACCGTCTTTTTGTCCAAGCCTCTATGTCAGAACGCTTTTTCACGGAAGCTAAAGCTATTGATATGTATACAATAGCTTGTAACGCAAATAATGGTGATTTATTTACAGTAATGGAAATTATAAAGATTTCTACCTGAGTTTTTATCTATTATTTAAATACTTTTCTGGATCTATATTTGTAATTCTTATTACATCAATAAACAAAGAAAGAACTCCAGAAGGGTTTCAAGAGTTCGTCTCGACAATTAATCAAAAACTTAATCTTGTTGATATGGAGTTTCGTAGAAGTCATGATGAGGATGATGGAAATCCAGTTTGGGCTCTAGTGAGCTACATTATTTTTTATCATCACTATTGTTGTTATTATCATTGGATTTGACTAATTGATGATATTCGATCAATTCTTAAAGGTAAACACTAATGGAGATGAAATTGCAAAATTAGCCACCGAATATTCACCTGTTGAGATTTCATATTTCAAACGATTGGTATATAATTCGTAATATATATTTATATATTCATATTTATTACTTGTGAAATGCTTTATCGTTTATTTTCAAAAAAAGATCGAACTTATTGTGACTGCAGATGATGACGCGTTTTCCGCCTCTTCAATTATGGCGTTGAAAGAAGCCTCAAAAATCAAGACACCTCTTACAAAAAGTGCAGCAGAAACTCTTTTGCAACGATTTGTTGATGATAAATGGCTAATTCAATCACAGTTACGAATCATAGTAGTAGTTTTTTCTTTATAGAATCGTTTTTGTTTTATAATATTTAATTATGTTGATACGAATTCACTCCGTTGTATTTAGAAGTGGAAAATATTCTATGAGTCAAAGAACAATTCTCGAACTACAAGCTTATCTGAAAGACGAGTTCGAAGATTATCTTATTGAATGTACATTATGTTATGATATTGTTACTAAGGTTTTGTTATAATACTATTAATGTTTTTTATGCTGCACGTACATAAAATCTTAGAT